AGAGAGAGAGAGAGAGAGAGAGAGAGAGAGCATGGGTTGGGGTGGGGGTGGGAGCAATTACTGCAAGAAATATCGGACCAACATAATCGTTTTAGCGGGTTGACAAAATCTGAGAGACATACAGAAACACAACTACAAATAAAAAAGGGACACGTTTCGTTAAAACGTACAGCTAATTCAATTGACAAACACAGGCAAGAAAAAAGTACAACACATTTTACTTGTTTCAGAGGCACGTTATCTGATTCAAACTTTAGGAATATAATATATATACACGAGCAATCAACGCAAACAAAAATGAAGTAAGCAATAAAAAGATCGCATGTATATAGCGTGTACCCCCACTCGACAGCAAGCTCCATTCGCTTTACACTGAATTATTACCCCCAGCAGACCATACAACACTCAGAAACATTCTCAGCTTCCCGGGAAGCTTACAGTGCTAGCAGTTATAAGCGCTCAAACACTAACATACTGGCAATATCTTTCACTGTCTATAGCTCTGGGTACACATTCTCATCATAGTGAAGAGAGGACAATTCGTGTAAAGTGTCGTTCCCAAGGACCCAACATCGAGGCCCGTGATGGGATTGGGACCCACGACCTTACAGTTGCGAGTCTGAAAGCCTAACCCCTAGACCACTGACGCCACAAAAATAAGTAAAACTGAAAGGCATGGCGTGTCGGATGTCGCCGGTGGAGAAGCCGCGTAGATTGGGTGGCCTCTCGGTGTTCCAGCGACGTTTTTTAGGAGACAGAGTTGAAAGGTGGGGACCACGGCTATCGTGCAAGTTTATCGCTCACACACACACGCGCACTATGAGGTTAGCGACGGGGGAAATGAAGAAAAGAGATAGATTCCAAGAAGAACAGGGTGGGGGTTTGGTGGTAGTGGTGGTAGCGAGGGTGGGGGTGGGGTATGATGCTAAGAGACAGAAGGAGGGTGAAACGAGGTGGGAGGGGTGGAAGGGGTGAGTGGGGGCTATAATTTAAGGGTACAACGGGGGAAAATGAATCAAAGAGATAGATAGTGGAGGAACGGGGAAAGGTGCTATGAGAGTATGAGAGTAGCCAAGAGGCGAGGGGGTTGTGTTATGAAGCAAAGAGATAGAGG